AAAAAATAATTGTTAGAGTGATATTTTTAATAAAAGTTGTAACTGTTACGGTCCTTGTTTTGGACTCTTTTTGAGGTTCTTAAATGACTTTTATTGGCCTCATAAATGCCTACTTTCCGACTCTTATTTTGGGTTGTTCTGCGAGTCTTATTGGCCTTATTCTTTGACCCTTCTTGAACTGACTTTAGAGCCATGTTTGCAAGGGCATTCAGCAAAAATTTTGTTTTCAAATACCGTACATACATACATATGTGTATATGTAAATTGCAACACTCCTAAAGTTTGATACAAAATTAAACAATTTCTTGTTTTTGAACCTCATATTTCTTACATACCTAGGACTCCTTTTGTACTCATATATTCAGAACGGTCAGAATATGTTTGCGGGATTCTGCTTCCTATTTATATGTACTATATTGGTTATACATAAACAAGTATAGTTTCGTTTTTTAACGGGACTCTAACCGTCAACATATTTAGAATTTATTACGTAGAGGCCTTCATACTCACAATTTCTTTTCGTTATATCTATGGAGCACTTTGGTATGAAAGATTTCACAACAACGAGATTTTTTGTTATATAGTTTTTCGTTTTACCAAGCTTCGTTATATCGATGTTTCACTATATTTTTTATTTGGTTGCCTAGATAAGCTAAAAAAATGCAAATATGTACATACATTAGGGCGAGTAAATTTTTTTGTTGGTGCAGAAATGGATTCCTCATACCAAAAAGCCCTTACTGCATGTTATATGCAAAATATAAGCAATTCTTTGCCACACTACAGCAGAATGAAGATTCATTTTAGGCCCCTGGTTTTTTCGGTAAATTTTCTTCGAATTACACGTAAAATCCTTCTGTGATATACGCGCATAGTCGAAAAATCTCCCAAACTAATTGACCCGCCCTAATGTACATTTATCTAACTATAACGAGTTGCAAAATGCGGAGCAGCTTTCTGATTGGGGTATGTACGTGCGAACTTTGTGAACTTGAACTTTGTTTGTTTGTTGCCAGTGGATCGTTGGCGCCGGCGCCCTAGCGACGACAGTAACATTTAATCAAACTCTCAAATCAATTTGCATGCCATTGTATTACTGTTCTATTCTATTGTCATTGGTTATGAGCTGCTATTGTGTCTTCTACTTTCATACATATGTATGTACATATTGCACGTTTTCTTCTACTCGACTCGAATAAGGAGCATGTGCCATGCCAACCGGCCTATTGTGTGCGTACATTGCACTTATTTAAATGCGCCAGCAACACCATTTCATAGGTAAAATTACTTGCAAATTTTCTTCATTTGTTCATCTTCTTCTTTTATGATAATAGTTACAACCCATATCTGCTAAATAATAAACGGTTGCATGTGTTGATCTACGAATTTTTATCTCGTTTAGCTTATCAGTTTAGTTAATAATTCTTGCTTATCGCTAACAGTTAGTTGCATGCAATCCTGTTTGTTATCAGCAAAGCATACAGTTTCTTAATCGCTATCCTCACATTAAGATCTGCTCTTCTATCTTCCGCGTAAAACTTCTATATCTTAATTATTTATAAAATAGCACATTTGCCCCAATGCCCATTCAGTCGTAGTCTGACTATTCTATCAAACTGATTCCATCAGCGAAACACCTCTGTCACCCCACAACTGTCTACGCAAACGCAGCAGCGATTAATTGCGCGGATTGCAAGCAACACGAGTCCACACAGTATCAACAACATTCCAGTAGTGACAACGAGGCGACGAAATGTTCGCACGCCCCCTGCAAAGTGCCGCCACCAGCGTCGGTGCGCAGCCAACGGAGCCGAGCAACACTCCTCACCAATACACGATCTCCGATTACGGCTACGGCAAGGATAGTGTTAAAGTCTTGCATGTTAAGAGGAATGGGCCAGTGCACTCGATAAAGGAATTTGAAGTTGGTACACATTTGAAATTGTATAGCCAAAAGGATTACTATAAAGGTAAGAAATGTGGACTGCTACAGATTGACTACTATATTTTACATGAAAGCGGATTTCACGAATCTGAATAATGTACATATACTAAGTTATTCGGGGTTCGTATAATTGTGGTAACATGACTTGAGCTACACTCAGGTGATACTCTCTTCTACACAGCCACTGTTCAACCTAGTTACGCGGCTCATGGCCATATTTTTGGAATCTTAAATATGCAAAATATTTTTTTATAAAGTCAAAAGTTTCCCTGGCTTTTTCAATGATACCACAAACATAAAATTTTCAGATCCGTTGAAAAGTTATGGCTTGGATCTCCACTAAATCATCTTTTTTTAATATCTCATTTAATTTTTTTTCGAGCTTTGAGAGATTATAACACACGAATTTAAAATGTGTAAAGTAAAACTTTGCACGCCATCACCGTTAAAATAAGCGATGGTCTGAACCAACGTTGACCCTGTAACAGGACCATACTCGACGCTGTTGACCTAACGAAAACCTTCAAAACAGTCGACAATGCAATGCTTTTCCAGAATATCCTAGACTTAACCTTTCGAAGAAAGACGCGGTGGTGGATTTTCTATTATCTTTGCAAATGTCGAACCTTTTATCGAACCGCGTAGCATTCAACAGGGTATCTCTTAAACTAGCGCCCTCTCGCCAACGCAATTTAAACTTTACATGGCCACCGCCAGATGGAATTTACTTAGTGAATTGCGTCTTCGAATGAATAGCTTTTGCGTGAAGATTACTGACTATTACTCCGACATTGCTGGATTCATCAGTATCACGAACCGGGAAATTTTCTTTCGACGTCTTTTCCGCCACAAGCCTTTTGAATTACGAAAGAAATAAACTTTACTCGCGACTTAAATATAAGGCGACTGGATGGTCGGTGCAAACCTGCACTGCGCCAGTATGGACGTCAGATATCTACGAACTTCACTGGATGGCCACAAGCTGGCAAATTCATGTCCACCGGAATTATCTTCATATGGAAACCCAGGTATGATACTTGAAGCAGTAACCATCCCAACAATGCTCTGCCTTGTAGCGAGCTGTGTGAGAAATCACCTCCTCGGCTGGAATTACGACGTCAAGGGGCATGCAGAGTTTACCTTTCGGAGGAGTTGCCTCCAGTGTCTAAACCCCGAGGTGATAAACATATGCCCTCCAACCGTTTTTTTATCTTATAAAAGCGAAGACATGTACGGCATTCCTAAGGGGTGGATTTCTGCTGCAATAACAAATACAACTTGTGGCTATTTTAAGTCAAATTAATTTAGAATCTCACGGCTGAGAGGATCGAGCTCACATCCGACTACCATCCGCAATAAAAGAATGTTTCTTCTGACATCGTTCGGCCCTCCTACAAGTGTATTTCTGCCTTGAAAAAGCTTTTTATACTACAAACAATCTGCTTTTTAAAGACGGCATAAAATGGCATGTCTGACGATATCAAGGCGCACATCCTAAATTGGATCAGAGCGCGGCCAAGTAGGTACTTATGGTTTGATGTGCCAAAACATGCTTAGACACTGGTACGGACCCTAACTTTTTATATCGAACTAAGAACCCGCATCTCTTGACGACAGAATTGCACTAATGCGGCTCCCATTTACGGGGTAGCTTTAAACAGTCATAAGTAACCTTTGCCTGCTAGCTTTAGTGTCTTCCAAGCTACATAAATGTACTCGTCAGCCGTCGCTTTATTTCTTGAGAGCTAGACTACACTGAAAGCGTTGGGATCTAAGGTAGTGAAGATGAAAGTTAAAAAAAGGCTAGTTTATCATTGTAATGCCGAAATCACTCGAAGGAAACCGCTGATGCAGACACGGCTTGGATATAAAATTGTCAGGCCTCCTCAATTCCATCTGAGACAATTAGTGACTTCGCAGACACTGCACCTCGTTCTGAAAAAACTACATTTAGTCAGCACTCAGAGAGGGAATTTACAATTGGTAAATATATCCGCCAATCTGATCCAAAATGTAGAAAACGTCCTTGAAACTCTAAGATTTCATCTTTTATACCGTTATCCTTGGTCTAAATAATTCAATTTATAGCAAGTAATACCCATTCTACTGGCATGCCTTCGTATCAAGCAGTGACCCGTTGCAATAACGGTCACTTGCCTCAGTAGAGGGCGTTGTAACCAAATGAGAGCATCGGATGTATTCTTGCCGATGATGGGTCAGATTTGTATAGTCGTCCCACACGTGGATTCTTTCAACCATCTTTTGTTTGTCTTCTCGACGAAGTGTGTTTTAGCCAAGTCTTGCAGGTGGATAGCGGTAGGCCCGCATAGGCATAAGAGTTGACTGCACGCAAGGTATTGTCTGCTGTACAGTTGCCTTGTATACCTCTGTAACCTGGCACCCTCGCAATGTGGATAGTAGACTTTTATACTAACTCGTTGAGGACTTTTCTAGTAACTTAATGGCCTTCTTGAAAGGATACAACTGGAGAAAAGCACTTGTTCACGAACTCGAGAAGCGGTGTTGTGTAGTCTGAGGACTTAAAAGTTTCGCAGTACTTGGTAAGTATATTGGTGTGACCGAATCTGGTAATGATAAACTAGCCATTTTGACTTGGCATCTAATCATAGTGTACCGCAGTGTCTGCAGCTTTCCAAAAAAGTTTACGAGCATAAGGTTTAGGAGTAAGTTCAGTAGACCCAATATAACTTCAGATAACTTGAGTACGATGAGGCATAGTGATCTCAACATTTTCTATTCAGCTGGCCTACTTTTACGAGGCTAAGATTCAATCTCCTCAAAAAAAAAAGAAGTGATAATTCCAAGATTGCATTTTTTCTTGCTAGCTCGCTGGAGTTTTCAAACCACCTAGCCGTTCATTTGTCCTCCTCCCTGTTCTTTTCCCTGTTATCTTAGGAAGTTCACAATAATATTAGAGAAATTTCAAAAAACCAACAAAAACTAAATGCCAACAAGTCATAGTTTTCTGCTTTCCATTAATCTCTTGCAGGTGATAACTCGGACATTGTCGCCACAGATTCGCAAAAGAACACTGTCTATTTGCTGGCGAAGAAACATGGTATTGAGAATCCGGAAAAGTTCGCGCTACTGCTCGCCAATCACTTCCTCAACCAGTACGCCCATGTAGCCGAGGTACACGTACACATCGAAGAGTATCCTTGGGAACGTATCGCGCAGGAGGATAGCGGCATTTGCGACAACAATTACTCCTCAATCAACAATCGCCACCGACATAATCACGCATTCATCTTTACGCCCATTGCGCAACGCTACTGTGACGTTGTGCTGAGACGAGCGGGTGGGTTCTTAGAAAGTCCTTGTTTCTTTATTTTATTTCAATTCCAAGCCTTCCTTATTTACTTTCCATAATTTTTCCTTCATCTTGTTCTTCTTCTATAGATCCCAAACAAACTATCATTAGCGGCATTAAGGGTCTTCGCGTACTCAAGACAACTCAATCGTCCTTTGTTAACTTCGTCAACGATGAATTCCGCACGCTACCCGATCAGTATGATCGTCTTTTCAGCACCGTCGTCGATTGCAGTTGGGAATATTCCGACATTAAAGATGTCAAATTCTGCCAGACCTGGAATTGTGTGAAGAATATTATAATTCGAAATTTTGCTGGCGATCCAAATGTGGGCATCTCTTCGGTATCTGTACAAAATACTTTGTATCTCTCCGAAAAAGAAGTGCTTGATGTTATACCACAAATTTCCGTGATTTCAATGACTCTGCCAAACAAACATTATTTCAATTTCGATACGAAACCATTCCAAAGTGTTGCGCCTGGTGAAAATAATGAAGTTTTCATTCCAGTCGACAAACCACATGGCACAATCTATGCGCAGTTGGCTAAAAAGGATCTTAAAAGCCATTTATGAAGTTGTAGGATGAAGTGAGATTTTTTTTCGAAGTTTCGTCTTATCAGTTCAAATTGAATGTTGTTTAATTTTAGTAAATAAAATTGTAAATATATATTTCAATAAAAGAAGTAAAGAATCTTTAACTGTTTGAAATAGCAGCGCATATTTAAGTACAAGTGTTTAGACGCGACTACTAACACCAAGCACAAAAATTTCCTTTATGAAATATGTATATGAAATTTTTTCACATGCACTTCTCAATAGCCCTATAATAAAACTTTCTTAAGTTATAATTTGATGGCACTTCAAAGTATGCTCAGCCTAGTCTGATTCACCATACGGACTTTGCTTCCGGGGTTTTTTGAGGACTCTGCATGGCTGACAACTATACAGAGTTGGTAACTGATGATGATGCCCTTCGTATATATAGATATATAGAAATTATAATGCGGTACGCACCGCGACCTAGTCATCTATTGTGACCTCCACACTTCACAATACCTCCTCTAGACCTAAATCCCTCAGAAAGTTATATAGCACTTTCGATGATAGGGAGTGAATGTGCTTAAGCTGTGGTCGCGTTGAGCCTACACTTCTCTTACGACGCGTGCAGACTGCATCACACTCGATCAGGGTGTGAAAAGGTGTTTCGCTGGTAGAGTCGCAGAACCGGCACAAGTCATTTGAGCATATCCGTAGCTCATATAGATAAATCCTCCTAGTCTGCAGTGTCCGGTAAAGAAAAATTTTAGTATTCTTATCTTCTCTTTTGAGAGGTTAATTAAAGTTTTGAATATTCTCTTGTGGTGCCCTTCCAGTAGACTCTTTGACTGACGTACTCCTACCGAACTATGCCTATTTAAATCCCTCATAGTGTTCCTCTCCATTCTAAGCTCCTTCCTTATAGTATTGGGACCTACATCCAGGAAGGACTCAGGACCAACTGGAGTGAAGGGTGCCGCCTCTCTTCCGAGACAGACCATCGCTTCGTTACCCTCTATTCCCATTTGACCAGATACCCACGCTAGTCGGATATTGTTGTGCCTGCCAAGGGAGTTGAGCATCTCAGTGCACTCATGGACCAAAATGATTTGATTTTATTAGATAAGAGAGGTTTGAGTGCTGCCTGACTGTCACTTAGAATTATAATTCTCTCATTACGGTACCCTCTATTTATGTAAGGCTCCGCACACAAATAAAAGGCGTAAACATCCGCTTGAAATATGCTCGGTTATGTCCCCAATAGGAACTAGGAGATACTGGTCCAGTCATATAAAAGTCTGGCGATTAGTGTTATATATGAGTCAAGAAGCGCTTCCAAACATTTTTTAAATATACGACAGAAGACTTATTGGCGGGTTTGGTTTACTTATAACTCTATATTCAAATGATTTCATAAATCCATTCAGCAATTTTCCTAAATTTTTTTTTACCGGCATACACCAATTCTGAGATTACAATTTTTGTGATTATTCAGTATTACCATATACATACACACATATTTACATAGTTATAAATACTCACTAAAAATACTCATTACTTGATTAATTCACACTTTAAAGAATATTGCGATAATTTTACAAAATTTGTTATACAAAAACAAAACAACAACATACTTATATTTGCGTGATAGCGGGCACCACACTGCATCTTTCCATTTCGCCGCCACCGCACAACAACAGCAGCAACAAATCAGTATCCTTCGATTGCGCCAACTTCCCACTCAACGGCACAGCCAATTGTATATTGCGAAAATAGCCAAAAGAACTATGCAACCAACCCTGTATGGAGGCATATTTGTACAAATGGTAAAAATCCTGTTGCTGCTCACCCAAAATCAACAGAAATTGTTCCCCATCGCTCATCGCAAACGAGTGCAACTTATCAACGCGTATTGGCAACTTAATGAGCTGGAAAAGTTTATACGAATCTACTGGCGCGCTACTCAAATCATAAACATTCACATACTGACACTTATGGCAACTCAGTAACAATTGATAGTGATGCGGTTCTACAGCTACCAGCGCCATAACATCATAGGGACCATCGATGACTTGCGCGAGTTTAAAGTGCGCCGTCTGTGGCATGAAATGGTAAATGCTGACAGCTTGCTGATTGCCTACCAAAGCAGCGCTAGCCAACACCGTTAAGTTATCGAGCTGAAAGAGTTGCACTGACTCGCCTATACCAAAAGGTATGGTTTGCCAATCTTTAACTTCGTCGAGCGCATCATCAATACGCAGCACGCGCACTTCATTGCGATTGCGCGCCTCATCGATGGCATGCAACAGCAGGTAGGTATGATTCTTAGTATCCATAAATATTTCAATGCTCTCAATATATTTTCGCATGACAAATACTTTTGAAATTTTCAAGCCGTTAACGGTAATTTTACTCTTTACTTTCTTAAAACGATCGCCGCAATAGTTTTGTGCCTTCGCCGATATCGCACCAGCGCTGGCGTACAAAAAACTCGTGGTAACATTTGTAATGAAGAGACGAGAGTGTGTAGCGCAGATTGCACTTGAAGAAACCGATGCTCGCAGGGGGTTACATGCCGCTGTTCGTAGAGGAAGGTCTCATCCAGACTTTCGTTAGCGTACTGCCGCAGTACCTGCGTATCGAAGTCGAAGTCGAGGTATAGCAGATGTGCTTTTTGCTCATCAGCCAGCAAACTGGTGGCATTTTGCGCGCTGAGTAGATTGCTCAGCTGATTAACGGCAATTGTTAGCTGTTCGCGGAAAGCGTCGTCGCCTGCCAGCTGATTGGTATGCTCCTCAAGTAAGTTCGCTTCATATAGCGCCGCCTCCTTGTCTTCGGTTGGGTCTGCAGTACTATTAGACAACGTGCGCCCTCTAGCGTGCAGCGGCATATCGGCAACAAGCACTAAGCCCTTCACAAATATACCTTGATCTATGGTAAGATTATCGAAATGATAGTTCGCCGTAGAGAAAATACTTTGCTGATATGCGTCCACCAGCCGTTGCCCATTCAAACGCGTCACATGCGAGGGCCCATTGAAGATTATATTACCATCAATCAACTTTTGACCGGCGATCACTTGCAGTTGATCGCTTTTCTTGTATATCAAATCATCGATCGGCACGCCATTGATGGACTGCAGTAGTGTTTCGTTGTTGGTCACCAGGTGTTCGAATATCAGGTAGCCTTGCACTTCTTGTGGCTCACCATTTAGCTTTATTCTATTTTTCAGCAAATAATCAAAGCTCTGCCCATTAATATCGCCGATCTGCAGCACGTCATCGATCACCAAATTATGCATGCTTATTGGTGGCAACGCACCCCTTGCTGGCGTATAAACCTGTGACGTTGGCATGCCATTCACTTGACCTTGCACAATCAGTTGTCCAATAATTATAATAATGGGTGCTACCTTGAAGTATAAAGGTCCGCCAATAGGCACGCCGCTCGAGCGCCGGTAGAGGGAGGCATGGAAGAGTTGCACATCTACCGCGTTAAGAGTAGTAATCGCCAGCGGACCCTCAACCAAAGCGCGCTGCAGTCGTAAGGGTTTGTGGAAAAATTTGGCGCCTACTATCGTCTGCGGCGCTGTTGTGTTCTTCAATAGGCAATCACGCGCTATGTGCGCAAGGTCCACACCATTGGGGAATGTGGTGCGCGTGCGCATTCTACTAATTAGCGGTTGTGTCATGTATACGGTGCCAGAAATCGCCTGATCACCACTGCGTCGCACCGCGTGTGTGTACAAATATTGCAGTTGTTCATATTGTTTCGTGCTGATGCTGCTGCTGCTCATCGCTGTATCATTCCAGTAAGCATTGCCGTGCACCACTAAATTTCGCCAGCGTCGTTGTGTTAGCTGCTGCAGCTGCTCATTGAGTGTCGCGAATTGGAAAGTATTCTCGAAATTGCCACTTATATCGCCGTGTACCGTTAACTTTGGTACTATAATATCGCCATGCAAAGTAAGGTTTTCTGTGCGCGTATCTATAAATGTGTTTGTGTGTATATCATTAATAATTCCAACATCCAGATTTGTCAAGCGTAAGCTGCCAAATGTATAGTGGCCAGTTATGCGCTGGGGTTTCGATTTTAAGAGCACATTACTGAAGACATCTTCCATAATAACGGTGTTGATCAGTGGCGTGTGTAGTGCATTTTTGACCGTGAGACCCTGCAGGAAGCTTGTAGTACCATTTACTACGGCATTCTCATTTAAACGCACCAAATTTTTCACATAATCTGGCAAAGATATATTATTTATTTTATTCACTTGCAGATTTTCAATAAACTGCACATTTCCTTTGACCAGCAGATCCTTGCGCAACACCAACTGTTCATTCTCCACCGAAAGTTTATCAAAAATCTGATCGAAGGCAAGGCCATTGATCTTTTGTACAATAATGTTCTTAGCTTGCAAGTGATAGGGCAAATGCAAATGCTTGATAAAATAATCACGCTGCATTGGCGTCTTTTCACGCGCATCATTCACAAAAGTGCTATGGAGGCTGTCTTCTACTACTGCCTTGCCGGTGACCACCAACTTGTTGCAGGATATGTTGCCTTTAAAATGTACCTCATGCAGCAGCTCTGACTTCAGAATCAACTCATCAGCTGTTACGTTATTTAGCTTGTCGGCAATTAGATGATCTTTCCACTGTTCCCCTGTAAGAAATGTAAGGACATTTTGTTTTTCAAAAGCTGATTCCAGGTTTAATTTCTCTCAACACTCTGTGCCCGGAAGTCCGATCAATCCAAACGAGTACAGCCGACACACCGTTTTCATTGCCTCCTCTTGAATCGCTAAATCCAGAGTTGGCATATCCAACGCATCATTAAGAGCCGGTCCTGACGTTGTACTCACGACACCCGTAATGCCTATAAACATGCTCCTTTGTTGTCGGTTTAACACAGAATACCACAGCCGGTCTCAGGCACCAGGTCTCACTAAACGTTCTTCGACATTGTCCGAAAACTTTCAGTGCTCGGTCTACCTTCAGCTCGACGTGAGTTTTCCATGTCAGCTTTCTATCCTAGATATTTCACACCCATGAAAAACTTAGGTTTACGCCTCTAAGCAGTGGAAGGTTAAAACCTTCCAATTTTCTTTTCCGAGTAAACAAGACTATGTTTGTCTTGCTGCGATTGGCAACAAGCCTCCGCAAAGTGTACCATTCGTCAGTCTTATTCAGGATTATCTGTGTCTTAACAAAGACTTCCCTGAGATATTTATTTACTTGATGACAATGCATAAACCTCATCCGCGTAAGCTTGGATGTGAACGAAGTCTTGCATTTCTGTTAGTAGTGAGTCCACTTCCAAAAACCACAAGAGAGTTTAGAGCACACCGCCCTGAGGGCATCATCTTCCCACTTCTGCCGTGATACAAACGATAGCTTCATCCTCCCATAGTCAGCAATCTTCTAGATAACGTAAAGTGAATCTATCTCATGATTGTGTCATCCACTTCATGTATTCAGGCCACAGAGCACATAGAGTCAAAGGTAGCGTTGTCAAACGCCCCCGCAATATCAGCAAAGATTCTCATTGTGTAAAACACCTGCTTCCAGCCCCACCTCGATCTTTGTTACAAGGTCATATTAAGCTGATTCATAGAACTTCCTGTTTTGGTAAATATGTATGTTGATGGCTTCTAAGAAACCGTACACCAAAACAATTGATCTAATGTACTTCTCGATGGTACGCTCCAGACCTTTCAGAATAAAGGATGCCTGACTGATTGGCCTGCAACTTTTTGTTACCGCATAGTCATGCTTTCCTGGTTTGGAAATTAAGACTACCCTGACGTTTCTCCATAGAATGGGAACTTTAAATGGGAATTCCAGACAGGTCCTAAACACTCTTATTAGATCCCCTATAAGCCTGTCTTTCCCACACTTTAGAATTTTCGGATACACGCCATCTGGGCCCTGTGACTTGAGGTCATCCAAAGGGGTATATGGCTTATGCCAGCATACCTAACCATCTCTTCAAGTGATGATCAATCTCACCTCCAATAAAAAGAATATATGTATACGAACATTGTCTTCTTAGCCTTAGTGGATCGCTATCGCACTTTTTGACGCATAATATGAATGTTTTTGCGTCAAAATTGAGATAGCGATTCGAAAATTGTCGCTAACTGGTTACAGAATCACCGCCGTGGGTTTTACCGAGTGAGGATAGAAACTCGAAATGCTTTTCTACGGCGACTGGAAAAAGTTTGGTTAACCATTCTATATTCAATCAACGATGCCGTCTGTTTATGCTTTAACTTACTTTCAATTATGTCATCACGGCCGCTGAACGCCACATCCTCTTCAAACTGCAAGCCATTCACCAATTCCACCTGCACGTCCTTTGCAGTTATTGAATTTATCAGCAATCTCGAACTCACAATTTGCGGCTCTCTTAGGTTGAAAAGTTTTGCAACAACTAAATTATTCAGTAAAGGTGCCCAAAGTGCATCCACTCTTGTCTCGCCTTGCAATATCAGACTACCCTTTAACTTACGATCACGATTACGTAAAAATAACGAATTTAAAAAATCCGATATGGAAACATCATTAATACGTGCCACATTCAGAACACGCACCCTAATAGGCAAATCGACAGATGCGTTGGCATTTTGGCGAAATAGGCGTGATGAGTGACGCGTTAATAGCTGCGGTGTGCTCAAATTTTGGTGCGGGCGGCAGAGCGTATCGAGAGCGTGGGAAGGCGACTACTCGAGCTATTATCCAAGTGGAAACCTGCGTAAAATTGGTGTTGTATAACAGATGACTTCAGTGATACATGTGTGGAACCTACCAGGTAGAAGTGTGCCATTGTAATGGAGGTTACCGACGTTTAACTGTCGAATCTTAGCAATACGCGGCATATCCAACACAAAACCGTTACTTTGGAATGCCTCTCGCGTAAAACGCAAGCTACGTTTTGGCATACGGACGGCCTCCACACGTCTCATCAGCTGTACTGGACTCTGTAGTGTCTCACCCAAAATCCTTACAATTCCAATGTTACCCGCATGCAAACGCACTGGATTTGGCGCATTAAATCGCTGCAGCTTAGGTCGCACGATGGCAGCAGCTCTACGGAATACATCCATAGCTGACTTGCGTTGCAATAGCAAGCTTCGCAAACGTTCGACAGTTTCTTCGAATAGGTGGCGATGTTGTTGTAAGTCACTTAAATCTGGCAACGGAAAGAAAATTGGATTAAAAACGTATTTTTCAGTTAGGTAATCAATACGCGGCAAAAAAGGCACCCACAAGAAAGTTTTAGCTTTTCTTACTCAAAACTTATAGCCTGCAGCTGCTGCAGGCCTTTGCAAACTAAATAAAATTCTTCTAAGACTCAACCGGGAAGGGGTCAAAGTTTGTTGGTACGCAGACAGTGTAGTGAATATGGTGTCCGGGTTCTTGGCTAGATAGCTGCGGGCTCTACTTTAATGCCTCGAAGACCGAATTACTATTATTCACCACAAGGAAAAGATTCCGAATTTTAACCTACATTCCTGAAATGGGCATACTATTTCTCTTTCCCCTTGCGACAAGTATTTAGGAGTCAAAAAGGCCTATAGTACTCCTGCAAGGAAATGCTGGGTAAGTGGGGCCTACGACTGGGATTTACTAGGCGGTGATTCGACCAATTATTACATACGGTTCGCTGGTTTGGTGGAAAGCCATAGAGATCAACATAATGTTAGGTAGGGTACAAAGGTCAGCCTATATTGCGATTGTTGGGGTGATCAGATTATGTCCAACGAAAGCATATAATGTCATCCGTCATTTGCCACCGATTGATCTCTTTATTAAGGAAATTGCTTCACAGAATACCCTGAAGTTTAGGGAACTTAGACTGTGGAAAGGTGTGAAAGTATCCTGTACTCTTTCGCTTCTCTTCAAGAAAAACTTCGGCACAGTATTTCCACCAATAAAGGAATGGAATGAGCCTATTTTTACTGAACGCTTCGAAGTATGTATCTATTTTTACAGATGCCTTGAAGATGGATTGTGGCGTAGAGGCGGGATTGCCATCAAAGAGGCATCCAAATTAATTTAGGCGCGAAGCTAACAGCGCCCAGCATTGCTATTTTCTCGGATAGCCAGGCAGCGATCAAGGCACTTGGCTCTGTAAGCATAACCTCCAGCGCAATAAAGCAGTGCAAAGAGAACGTTTTGGTTTAGCTGACCTGGGTGCCGGCGCACAGCATAATTCATGGCAATTAGATGGCCGACGAGCTAGACAAGAAAGGGTCGGCTCTGGATGTCTCAGATGGAGAGTAGGTTCTTATGCCGCTGAGCTACATATACCAAGGGCACATCTCTTAGCTTGGAAGAAGTTGGTTAATAGTAGATGGGAAGATTACACAATCCTATAGGCTCTACAGGAGTCTGTGACACACCTAATGCGCAAAACGCGTTACATTTATCATCAAACTGAACAAGAGAGCTTTATCTCGACTAACTTCCGTTTACACAGGGCACTGGGCCGTGGGAATCCATGCAGCAAGACCAAAACTGGAACACAACCCTTCTGGTCTTAGCTGTAATTCACTAGACATTGAAAAACGGTGGAGCAGCTACACTGTAATTGACCAGCACTATGTTTGACTTGAATCGAGCTTCTAGGCAAACCCTGCTACTGCGGTTTAACATACATAATGAATATTAACCCACTGCAGCTTCTTGAGTTCTTGAACTTGAGAAAATACCCGACTTCTGCTGTTTTCTTTTTGTCTTTTGTTTTCAAGTTAATTTGCGAGCAGTGGTTTTAAAATGGTACGCATAGGTGCTAAACTCGCCACTTCAACCAGCCAACGAACCAACCATAACCTGCAGCCCATCATCGCTCCCCACAACCACCCCATTTACTATCAAACAACCAACTCACCTTCCACTCCAGTGTCATTTAACGCCGCAGACGCAGCACCTAGTCGTTGTCCATCCGCCGCTTCAACTTCTACAATGCGTAACAAAGTATGAAAAGGACGCCGATAATTGAGCAGCACAAAGGATTCATCCTGTGGGCTCACGTGCGTTATTATCTCAGTGATGTCACTTTCGTTCGCGCTAAAGCTGGCATAGCAGTCCAGCCGTGAAGTTGGATAAATATTCACAGCCCGTTGATGGGCACCCACCAAAAAGTGTGCACCCGCTGCAAAACGATCGAATGTCAAATCTTTACCGCTGAATTGACGAAATATCGAGAATTGTGCTTCTTGCCGCTTCATGTTAAATAAGTTGCACTTCTGTTGCTGCGCCGCACAACCGATGAAATAATTACGGCCACGGTATGTGAAAGCGTGTATGGTGCGTGAGGGTATGGTGAGAGTTTGGCGATTACGTAGATGCAAATCGGTGGAAACTATTTCGTATACAACGATAATGGTCTATAGGAAAAGAGAAAATGGTGTTTTTTAAGAAAACTTTTTTGTTTTCGAAAATACAAATTTGTGTTTACTACCCTGCCTTGATGTTTGATAAGACGTCCACTTAGCAAAAATTTTGGCGCCGTGCCAACGACTTCCAACACATGAATAGCCGGTAGTGTGAGATCCTCCACCACGTCGAAAAATGTATTCGACCACTCATAAGTTCTGTAAATCAGATTAGATTAGCAAATATTTTAAAATAATTTGCAAAACAAAAAGAAGGAATCTATATAATACGTCAATCCATGTCAAATCGGTCTATGGTTGCCATCGAGCATTTTTGGTTGGCAGGAATTTTCTTCTGCCATAGGAAAAAATTCAATATTTTCCAAATATTTTGCAACATTTCACAATTTTCGGCATTTTGCAAGCTTATTTTTTTTATATCTCAAAAACTATTATAATTACAAAAATAATTCTGGTCTCGTTTTAAATGTGATATTTAAGGCTATAAGAAAAAATATATAACAAAATCGAAATATAAAACAATTTACAGAATTTTTAAATTAAAAAAAAGTCGGAAAATCAAAAACTTATAAAAATTGTTGACAAAATTTCTTTTCTACAACATCTCCAACTGATCCTGAAATTTTCAGCGTTTTTTAGGATATAAATTTTTCAATTTTGAAAAAACATTTTTTGGAAACTCTGAATACAGTTATGTTTAACAATTTTTATTTAATTTAAATTTATTTTAAATTTACCGCCGGTTTCACCAGCAATTGAACTGGAAAATGGTTTCTTAGTCCAATGGTTTCCGTCCATTTCCATATAACATTCAAAAAATTATAAATCATTTTTTACTTAAATTGCTTTCATAAAATTGGCTGTTGGAGTTTGCAATAATTTTTTTTTTTAATTACAAAACTTCATACCTTAAAAAAAACACCCTGAAAATTTCAGGATCTTTTAAGATCAGTTGGAGGTAATCTATAAAAAAGTTTAGCCAAACAACTATGTATATAAGTTTTTGCTTTTAAAATGTTTCAATTTCAAAATTCAAAGTTTTTTTTTATTTTTCGATTTTTTTTAATATATTCATAACCCATGATTCAATAATTAAAGGTTTGCTCAATAGTGACATTAGAGTTTTGACACTCCCTTAACTCCCTTACACACTTTGCACACACACACACGAACCCACATACAGTGAATTGCTAAGAGAGTCGATTTTGTCAAGAGGGACCGAGAAAACTGTTTTCTAAGCAAACCTTTTATTATTGAATCATATTCAAAACCTGGTTTCAGCGATTTAAAAAAAAATACTTTCTGATGTTTGTACTTGTCTGGTATATAACTGTCAGCACTGATGTTTAATTTTAACTTTACAATTGAGTAGTAAATTCTTCTAGCAAGCGATATACAGTCAGCGACAAAAATATGAATACCCTGGCATTTCTTTATTTATATTTTCTGTTTTTTTTTTATAACAGTTAGTTCAACAGCAAAAACCAGTTGAATAAATTTTTTCTAATTCATATAGAACTCGGGAAAATTCAAGATATACCAAAAAGCTGTCATCAAAATTTTCAACTTTTCAATTCCATTTCTTAAACAAATTTTTGGTATGCAGTTTTGTAGCCCATTCAGTTTTAATATAATAAGGTGCAAGTTTGAACCGGCTAAAAAATCGCATTGATTTTGGAGAATTTTTTTTGTCGGGGTGTTGCGCATTTTCCTTTTTTTTAATTATTGAAAAAACTTAACTTGCAAAATCCGGGAAATTGTGAAATTTTTAACTTTGGAACTTATACACGTGTATTACAATAAACTGATGAACTATTTTGGATTTGATTTTTCGAACAAATGGCAACCCTCCTAAATAAAGGTCAGGAATAAAGCCTTTTCGAACCCATTTCTGTTTGATACCCATCTTTTAATAATTCATCCAACTGAACCAATGTGAAGGTAACTTTTTAAACACGTGGCCACCCTCTTCAAAAATTCCAATGTTAAAGCTAAACATTCTTTCGTTTGACTACGGTATTTTTATATTTCATATACTTTTTGTATAAGTTAATTGAGTTAGACGTTTCAAACAGGTGGCAGCCCTCTTCAAAAGTATTTTCAAGCTTAATCCTTGTTAACTCTCCTTCGCCGAACATTTCGATACATATTTTAATTAACTGATGAATTAAGTGGAATTAGATTTTTCAAACATGTGGCCACCCCCCTTAATACAGTTCAGAAATAAAAAATTTTCAAACCCCTTCGATTGCTACCCATATTTAAATAATTCAGTAACCTTATTAAATATTTTGAATTTAACTTTTTTTTAAACAGATGGCAGCCCTCTTCTAACACCTTAAAAATATTTTTAGCGTTCAAACTAAAGATTTTTAACACTCCTTCGTTTGACATCCATATTTTGATATTTCATATAACTTGTGTATAAATAAGTAAACTAAATTCGACATTTCAAGCAGATGGCAACCCTCTTCAAAATATTTTCAAACTACTACATTCTGAAACCTTTGCGGTTGGCCCCTATATGGTGATACATATTTCTGATGTACAACGCCGAAACCGGTTTGTCTCCAAACCAAATTTAACAAGGGATGACGGAAATTCGTTCCAAAATACATCATACACCCTCCCTGTCGGAAACAACAACATCCAAAAAGGAAATACATATTTCTTTTACTTAATATATATTTTTCTTTTAACAGGTGGCAACCCTCCTATAGTTCAAATATGGAAAAAAGCTTTTCAAAATCATTTCGATTGATACCCATTTGAATATAATTTTTTAAAAGGTGGCAACTCTTTTCAAAAAAGTAAAACCTTATTGCACATTCAGTATAACCCTTTTAATTTGACACGACATGATGGCATTGATTATTAAATAATTTGAGTTCAATTGTTCAACAGGCAGGTGGCAACTCTTTTCGAAAAACTAAAACCATTTGCACATCTACGGACCAAGCGCATTAGTTTGACATTTTTGAAAATCGGGCGAACGGTACAGATCTTTTCTCTTGGACAAAAAATCCCCTCGCCTATTACATACTACATATGTATGTAGATAGAAAGGGCGCTTCTTATTTTTCTCTAAAACAAAAAAATAAGAAAAAAACTAAGAATTAGAAGAAAATTCAATTTAAAAAGAAATTAAATTATAAAAAAAAAAACAATTATAGAAATTAAATTAAATTAAAAAATATGTTTTTTCAATGAAAGAAAAATTTAATCAAAAAAGGCAAATAAATTAATAGATTCAAAAAAATAAAATTCCTAACAATGAATTTAATTAATTTAAAAAGTATATACATTTTTTTAACAATAAGATCTAAAATTTTAATAAAAAGAATTATTAAAAATAAGTAATTTTTAGGCAAAAAAAAAAACAGACTTCAAGTCCCATATAAAAATTTAGGAGTAACATATATACATAACAAAAATATTCCGACGAATTGAGAACCTCTTCCTTTTTTGAAGTCGGTTAAGAAGAAGAAAAAAGTATAAGCTTCTAAACATTAAATAAAATTAAAACTATAGTTTTTATTTTTAATACAACAAAATCCAAAAATTAAATGAAAAGAAGAAGCAAACAAATTAAATTAGTTTCGTAAAAGATTTTTAAATATGTATATATCTATCTACTTTTCTTTTTAAAACAATACAATCCAAAAATCAAATGAAAAGAAGAATAAAAATAAAAATAAGAAAATAAAACAAGTTTATTTTTAAAAAAAGATATACATATGTATATCTTATATAATTTTTCCTTACTTATTTTATTTTCTAATTTTTATTTGTGTTCTTCTTTTCAGTTAATTTTTGGATTTTATTGTTTTGAAAAGAAAAAAATACTGTTTTAATTTAATTTGGTGTTTAGAATTTTATACTTGTGTCTTCTTTTTTAATTAAGTTATTTAAATCTAAGAACTAAAAGAAAATTCTATTAAAAAAATACTATAATTTAAAAGCAGACAAAATATAAGTTTCTAAAAAGTAAATGAAATGAAAAAATAGATTTAAAATAAAATGCAGAAGGCCAATCGCAACAACATTTCAAAAAACCAACGTCAGTTTTTATAATAGCTGCATTATGTAAATAAAAAAAAAAACGCAAAAGCCCTCACAAAAAAAATATTAAAAATCAAAGCGATTTGTAATCATTTTAAACTTACCAACAAACTAACGGCTCCATTCTTTATCAGTGACAAATTCTGGTCACAGTTTTTGTTACGGAAAAATATATGAAGAAGTTTAAATTTGTCAGTAAAAAAAAACAATTTATCACCGTTACAGAATTGGGCTATAAAACTGCATACAAAAATGTTCTAAAGATTCAGACTAAAAAGTTTGAAATTTTCATGAAAATTTGTTGATTTTCATAGTTTTTGTATAAAATTTGAAACTTTGATTTATATGGTTTTGGTTAAAGCTTAGACAATATTTTATAGAAAAACAACAACAACAAAAGTTTACTTAAAAACATTGTGAATATCTATTTAAAAAAAATCAACACTAATATAACAATATTAGAAAATTTCAACTTACCGCAATTTCGATTGCAGCTTAGTATAGTTAACCGCCGTTAAAAGCATAACACGTTCCTCGGCTACATTGATCAGAAACAGCTTACGAAATCTACCGTTTAGCATAAGTTGTTGTATTGGCTCGAAATTTGTTATTGTATCGATGCCTACTTGACCCAACTTTGCTGCTTCAGCATTTTGCGCCAACAAGCCAGCAGGCAATTGATAAATCTCCAGAAAGTATTCCAAAGCGACCACCAACAGCAAATATTTACGCCAAAAAATTACCTGAAGAAATTAAAAAATATTCATTTATTTTTTTAGGTATGAAAATTTATTGTTAGGGTGTCAGCTGTAAGTTCAATGGATAACTCCATTTTTAATACAATATTTTTTCATTTTAATATGGAGCTCTTTTCGAGAGCGCCAAATGGAGTTATCACTTTAATGCCGGACAGTGTTTATTTCTCTCCTCACCTCTGCTGCTATGGGCTCCTGTTGCCTTACACTGCCTGCCAGCGCGCCAATTAGGGACAAACGTTTCTCCTGGCCACTTACAATCAATTCGTACAATTCCCGGCCGTGCAAAACAAAAAGCCGCTGTGTAGCAATTTCATGCATTACATGCAAATTTTGTTCATTTTCTATTCTCATATCCATAAATGGCAAACGAAAACGCAGTGCGTTGATTGGAGCGGTGGAACAGCCGCAGTGGATTTGTCAGCACATATCGATGGGATTGGTGGCGTTGCGAGTGCAAACGGCACCACATTGGCAACATCGGGCCGCACTACTTGGCTGAGACACTTGGGTGTTAAGAGACTTATGCATTTCAAATATGGCTTATTGAAAATTATACTGACTTACCACTTGTAATGAGATTATGAGTAGGTAAGTCAAATACGAATGCATTTCCAGTGCAATTTTTATTAAAAAAACATAGGTTTATTTTTTAGTCTTTTTTTTCTTCTTTATTAGCACATACTATTTTCCAGCAAGGGTAGATAAAGCGCGTGTAGTTTTTCAAGAGCTAACGGACAGTACAACAGCAAACACAGCATACAAGGAGTAAATTAACACTAAATGAAATGTGAACGAAGTGAAGGAGAACCGGGATGGAATGGAGTGGGAAATGAATGCCTAAATATATAAGCCGTAATGCGAGTATTTTATGAGAGAAAATAGGCTATCCACTCAAGGCATGAGCTTATAATGGTTTGTTTGCAGGTACTTACAGTGATCGAAAAAATTATAACCACATATTGCCAAGTTGTAAAATGAGAACCAACTTAAAAGGAAATAAAACAAGAGTGCATAAAAAAATTATTTTTTTTTTTTTATCTTAAGTACAACTACATATAATTACAGTGGGGCGGGCGGCCAAGATCCTAACTGAGGCTCCATGCACGATTCCTTCGTGTACTTGCATTTGCGATAGGGAAAATAGCGCAAAATCCGTTTAGTACAGACGGTTTGCGCAAATCGATGATGCGGTAATGCAAATCATGAGTTTAGGTTTATTTATTATTCCACCTATGTAGTTTTGCCGGAAAACGGGGGCGGAAGTATTTTTGCGCATAACTTCTTTCTGCGTAGGCGACCTTCGGGGGCTGAAGTAATGCATATGAGAAAAAAAAGGAACAATCCAGCGCCTTCGTCTTGGTCTGCACGCTGTATCGGAGATACAGCCGATAAATTTAAACGTAGAATACGTGGTATGGTTAAGAGCATGAACCAACGACTACAGATCACCTAATCAGCCATCGTTGTATTTGTAATCGATTTTCAGAAAAAAGTTTTCGTAGCGTTTTTGACGTTTTTCGGTTTTGTTTACACCGTCTTCTACCTCTTCGTAGTGATTTTTTAGCGATTGAATGTGTTTTCTGCAGCGATTTTAATTATAAATTTTGGTTTATTACATATTTATGGTATAAAATGAAGTGCTGTGTGATTGGAACAAGTTTGTGCGTATGTTTGGTTTGCCAAAAGGCGTAAATTTGCGTGAAAAGTGGGTGCACGTTTGTGGCCAGAACGTTGGCATTGAAAAATCGACCCGTGGTAATGATATGCGATTGTAAAGCACTTTCAATCATGTAAACCATATTTTATGAACTTTTTTTGCTAATTGTGATCAAGTTTCACTTTGTATATTTTATAATAAATACCAATTTAATTGCACTCAATCACCGCGCCTTTTTTGTTTTCTTTGTTTGTTTTCGTTCTTAGGCAGATGTCAAAAACGCTCAGAAATATACTTTTTTCTTGCTTCTTTGATTAGGTGATCTGTATTTTTGGTTCATGGGTTAAGAGCATATCAAAGTCCAAAACGAAAGCACACACTAAGAAAAAAATATCGATAACAAAAGCAATAATAATATCGATAGCAAAATCGATAAAAACATCGATAAAAGATCGATGATAAATAATCCATAATAAAATCGATGACAACGTCGATAACAAAATCAATCAAAATATGGATAACAAAATCGATAAAAATATCGAACATTATATCGATAAGTTCCGAAAACATCGGTAGCAAAATCAATAACAATATCGATAAAAATTTCGATAACAAAATCGATAAAAATATCGATCCCAAAACCGACAAAATATTGATTATTATATCGAAAATCTCTAAAATCCCGAAATAGTTCCCAGATTGAGTCTCTGTGCTTCTATCTATATCCTTTTCTCTACAACTACCTTTATTTTAATCTTTCTTCCTCTATCTTCATCTTTACTTTTATCGGTATTCTCATCCTCATATTTTTCTTTATATTTATCTTTGTTTTTATTTTTATGTTTATCATATTCTTCATATACATATTCCCCTTCACCTTTGCCCTTATATAAGTAAAGTGTTTAAATTTACCTTGGTCTTCAGTTTTGCCTTTATCTTTACGCAACTTTGTTTTTGTTTTTATTTTTACTTTTGCCTTTATCCTTTTCTTTATCTATGCACGTACTCACCTTTACTTTTATTCTTTGATTGGTCTTTTTCTAAGTGTTGTATCACTTCAAAAAATGTTTGAGTATTATGCATACATGTGTTCATACGTATATGTATGTACATATGTATATAAAATGTATAGACATACATAGATTACTATAAAAATAGAAACAGGCCCACATTAACTGCAATCAACATATGGACGTATGTATGTATTTACATATGTACGGGGGAATACGCTGTGATTAGGTTATAAATATTGCTCCATTTTTTTATCAAAAGCCGAAATATGTTCTTACGCACACATACATCATTTTTATCTCCTTCCCACTCTTCCAATGCATGCACGTGTTTGCAAAACGATGACGAAGTGATTTTGTATGGGAAATCATTTATGCCCATATATTTGAATCAAATAAACATACTTAGAAGATATCAACCAATACTTCCCATATACCAAACGAAAGGAAAACTCTTGAATTTTTGACTAAAGAAAACAAAAACAAAATCATTAGAGCGGTTTTCGAGCATTTTGGTATTGAAAAAAAAATTAAAATTTTTTCAACAATTTTTTGCCTTAAAATGCTCAATGTTTGTTGAATTTATATAAAATTTGTACACGATAATATTTCCACTGCTCCAAAGAACCTATATCCCGAAAATCAAAGTTATATCTGCCAACCATAAATTGCTAAAGCACTTTAAAAGCTCAAAATTTACACCAAAGGAAGGCAAAGTTTACCGTTATTTTTACGACCGAAACCGAATTGGTTACTTACAAAAATGAGTCTGTCGATAGGGTTTAAAACTTCTATCTTTAAAACGCCAAACTTTTCTTTAAAATCGCTTCATTAGTTCTCGTGCAATAAGCGTTTTCGTGAAGCTCTAAAAATTACAACTACAACATTTCAGCATAGCCTCCATATCCAATTGGTGTACACTTTCGTTTGAAACCGAAATAATGCATATGACAAAAACCGAAATAAAACATACATGCACAGTTTCGGTTGAAACCGAAATAATGTCTAAATGCACAGTTTCCAGGTGCGCAATTTCGGTGCCCCAGGAGAAAATTGGCGGTTATTTCTGATTAGGGACGTACCGGTTATAGATTTTGCCGGATAACCGGATTCCGGATATCCTGTAAAAAATAACAGCCGGATTCGGATATCCGATCGGATATCAGGTAGACTGCTGCCCTTAATAAATTTCACAATACTGTTTTTTTTTTGCCGGCTCGAGTTCACCTCGACCTCCGCACCGTTTCTGATGCTACAGAATTTACCACTTCGAAAACACAATAACGCATACATCTGTGCGATGCTATCGCAGTGAAAAATGGCATCTTATAAACAAACAAAAAACAATCTTCATGAAATTCCTTGCTTTTGAACAATCAAGATGTTTTGTTTTCTTACGTTAATTTTTGTTTAAATTATACAGAACCCGCCTATTAACCTTTTTCGTTTCCGAACGCGTAAGTCTGCAATTTCGGCACGACGAAAAGAAGAGCTGTGAATGTTCCAATAAATAGTTGCGGCATTGTTGTAATTTTTTCGGAACAGATTCGCACCGTCAGAATCGCACATGTGTGTTGATGCCTTATATGACCTTACATGGTCACATTGTTTGATCAAACTGTCTTCTGTGTAATTAGATGGTTTAACTAACGCGCTTCAAAAAACCCATTAAATTTCAGTTTTTTGTTTTGGATGAAGTTGAAGAGAAGCTTAAGGAAGCTTTGTATTCATTTGTTAATACTAACACTAAGTCGTATACTTTTTCCTTGTTCAATTATGTGTTTTTATTTAAATTATTGTGTAAAAAATGGTTTAATTTGAACTTTGACCCTTAATAACTTTTGTAATTTTTGTTCCCGCAAAAAAATAAATACACCGTTATACTCACCGCAATTATCTCTATCGATCGAGAATCGGAGCTATTCTGCATTTATGACCAAATTTTGCTCAGCTTCCGTATATTTGACAGAAAGGCAACTCTGAGAAATTACGCACGTAAATTGATTTCGGTTAATCAAATGTGAAAAACTTGCGTGCGTACGTAGAAAAACTCACGCCGGTAATATTAGGTTGAGTTGTTAGAAACTCAATACACTGCACACATATAGTACATACAAAATTTCAACCCATGCACGCAGTTTGACCAAACAATTTGCCCGTGTAAGGTCCCTATTAATCTTGTACTAAAACGATAACTTTTCCTTCAGCAAACCTGATTATCGATTACTCTTGAGAAATAGAGGGGAAACGTCAAAGACAAAAGATAAACAACTATCTCGTAAAAAACTATTAATAAAAAAATTTACTTGATTATAGGACTAAACATTCAACAACGACAATGCTTCACTATTGCAACATTTTTCCACCCACGTTTCAAAACTCGTTTTTTTTCTGACGCCAATAAAGCTAAATGTTGTTGATGAACTAATTCGAAATTATAAATCAGTTAGCATGGAGAAACCAGTTGAATCATATGAAAAATGCCGAACTATACACCCCTATGCTGTAATCCGTCGTAGATTCGATTTTGCTACGAATCTTAAAATTGGTATGCTGTAATCCGCGTTGCCGTATCGTAATTTCGAAATTCGGAGACCATCTTCGAAATTCGTAACGTTGGTATGCCTGAATCCGACGTAGCTGTAATTTGTATGTATTTGTCAGAAATTTTCTACGAAGAGCAACTGGTGTCGGAGCGAAGCGAATTCTTTTAAAATATCAATAAAATTAAGTGTGGAAACGCAAAAATATGTATTTAAGTTGAAGTGTGAATAAAAACCAATGTATTATTAAATGTTTACAAAATTATCATGTCGACAATCACCACAAATCGCTCACAATACGAAAAACTGGTGGAAAGCATGAGCGAAAGGCCGGACATTGCCCAAGGCTTTGTAATAGTTAAAGAGGATGTGGTGGAATTTTGGGAAAGCGTTGCAAGATTTAAAGCAACA